AGACATCCCTGGTGACTTCAGACAACCCTTGGTGATTTCAGACAACCCCCGCGACCTGAGACAATCCCTGGTGACCTGAGAACCTGATTTCAGACAACCCCCAGCGACCTGAGACAACCCCTCGTGTTTCACACACCTGGTGCTGAAACATCCCTGGTGACTTCACAGAACCCTGCGTGAACTCTGACCACTGGTGACCTCAGACAACCCTTGGCGACTTCACACAATGCCTGGTCATCCCAGAAAACCCCTGGTGACCTCAGACAACCCCTGGCGACCTCAGACAATCCTTGGTGATCTTAGATAACCCCTGGTGGCCTCAGACAACCCCTAGCGACCTCGAGACCCCTGGTGACCTTAGACAATCCTTGGTGATCTTAGACAACCCCTGGTGATCTCAGACAACCCCTGGTAGCCTCAAGACCCTGGTGACTTCAGACAACCTGGTGACTTCAGACAACCCCTGGTGACTTCAGACAACCCTGGTGACTTAGACAACCTGACTTCAGACAACCCCTGGTGATCTCAGACAACCCCTGGTGACCTCAAGACCTGGTGACTTCAGACAACCCCTGGTGACCTCAGACAACCCCTGGTGATCTTAGACAACCCTGGTAACACCAGACATTCCTGTTGACCTCAGATAATCCCTGGAACATGACCAACCAGTAGACCTCACATATCTCTTGGTGATCTAAGACAACCCCAGGTGACCTCCTTAAATCCCTGGTGACTTCACACAACCACTGGTGATCTCGACAGCCCCTGGTAACCAACACCTGGTGACTTCAGACAACCCTGGTGACCTCTGACAACCCCTGGCGGCCTCAAACAATCACTGATGATGTTAGACATCCCCTGGTGACCTTAGACACCCCTGGGGAACCCCAGAAACCCTGGTGACCTCACAAAACAACTGCTGATCTCGGACAACCCCTGGGGAACCCCAGAAACCCCTTGACCTCACAAAACAACAGCTGATCTCGGACAACCCCTGGGCCCCAGACAAGCCCTGGTGACACTAGACAAGCCCTGGTGACTTCAGACAGTCCCTAGTGAACTCAGACAACCACTGGTGATCACAGACAACCCCTGGTATTCTCAGACAATCCCTGTTGACCTCAGACAATCCCTGTTGACCTCAGACAACCACTGGTGTTCTCAGACAATCCCTGTTGACCTCAGACAATCCCTGTTGACCTCAGACAACCACTGGTGTTCTTAGACAATCCCTGTTGACCTCAGACAATCCCTGTTGACCTCAGACAACCACTGGTGTTCTCAGACAATCCCTGTTGACGTCAGACAACCACTGGTGTTCTCAGACAATCCCTGTTGACCTCAGACAATCCCTGTTGACCTCAGACAACCACTGGTGTTCTCAGACAATCCCTGTTGACCTCAGACAACCACTGGTGTTCGCCAGACAATCCCTGCTGACCTCAGACAATCCTGTTGACCTCAGACAATCCCTGTTGACCTCAGACAATACCTGTTGACCTCAGACAACCACTAGTGTTCTCAGACAATCCCTGTGACCTCAGACAATCCCTGTTGACCTCAGACAACTGGTGATCTGACATCTCCTGGTGACTTCAGACAACCCCTGGTGACCTCAGACAATCCCTGTTGACCTCAGACAACCCCTGGTGATCTGACATCTCCTGGTGACTTCAGACAACCCCTGATGACCTCGGAACACCCCTGGTGATCTCAGATAACCCATGACACATGGGGGACACAGGGACTTACTAGTAATACTGACACATGGGGGACACAGGCACCTACTGGTAATACTGACACATGGGGGACACAGGCACCTATAGTCATGCCGCATGGGGACACAGGCACCTACTGGTAATACTGACACATGGGGACACAGGCACCTACTAGTCATACTGACACATGGGGGACACAGGCACCTACTGGTAATACTGACACATGGGACACAGGCACCTACTGGTAATATGACACATGGGGACACAGCACCTACTAGTCATACTGACACATGGGGACACAGGCACCTACTGGTAATACTGACACATGGAGACACAGGCATCTACTAGTCATACTGGCACATGGGGACACAGGTACCTACTGGTAATACTGACACATGGGGGGACAGAGCCTACTAGTAATATTGACACATGGGGACACAGGCACCCACTGGTAATACTGACACATGGGGACACAGGCACTACTAGTAATACTGACACATGGGGACACAAGCACCTACTGGTAATACTGACACATGGGGACACAGACACCTACTAGTAATATTGACACATGGGGACACAGGCACCTACTGGTAATACTGACACATGGGGACACAGGGACTTACTAGTAATACTGACACAGGGGGACACAGGTACCTACTAGTAATACTGACTCATGGGGACACAGGCACCTACTGGTAATACTGACACATGGGGGACACAGGCACCTACTGGTAATATTGACACATGGGGGACAGGCACCTACTGGTAACTGACACATGGGGGACACAGGGACTTACTAGTAATACTGACACATGGTGGACACAGGCACCTACTAGTAATACTGACTCATGGGGCACAGGCACCTACTAGTCATACTGACACATGGGGACACAGGCACCTACTGGAAATACCTTCACATGGGACACAGGCATCTACTAGTAATATTGACACATGGGGACACAACCACTGGTAAGTACTGACACATGGGGGACACAGGCATCTACTAGTAATACTGACACATGGGGACACAAGCACCACTGGTAATACTGACACATGGAGCAATAACCTACTGTAATACTGACACACGGGGACACAGGCACCTACTGGAATACTGACAAGACAGGCACCACTGGTAATACTGACACATGGCAGAGGCACCACTGGAATATCACACATAGAACTACTGGATACTGACACATAGGGGACACAGGCACCTACTGGTAATACTGACACATGGGGGACACAAGCACCTACTGGTAATACTGACACATGGGGGACACAGGCACCTACTGGTAATACTGACACATGGGGGACACAGGCACCTACTGGTAATACTGACACATGGGGGACACAAGCACCTACTGGTAATACTGACACATGGGGGACACAGGCACCTACTGGTAATACTGACACATGGAGGACACAGGTACCTAGTAGTAATACTGACTCATGGGGGACACTGGCACTTACTAGTAATACTGACACACAGGTGACACAGGTACCTAGTAGTAATACTGACACATGGGGGACACAGGCACCTACTGGTAATACTGACACATGGAGGACACAGGCATAACTAGTAGGATTAGTAAATTTGCAGATGATACCAAAATGGGGAGAGTGATAAATTCAGACAGTGACTTTGAACACCTTCAAAGAGATCTAGATACCTTACATGAGTGGTCAGTAGACTGGCAAATGAATTTTAATACTGATAAATGCAAGGTACTACAGATAGGGAAGGCGAATACAAACGTTAGTATAAAACTAGGTAACACGAGAATAAACTCAGTTTGTGAAAAAGATCTAGGTGTGTTGTTGTAGCGACTTGAAACCCTGAAAACAGTATATTTAAGCCGTTAGCAACAAAACCAAACAAGTTCTTTGGGTTCATATCTAGGTCTGTGATAACAGAGACTATGACGTTATCTTGAAACTTTACCTGGCGCATTAGTGAGGCCACACATGGATTATGCGGTTCAGTTCTGGTGTCCTTATTATAGAATGGACATAGATTCTTTGGAGAGAGTACAAAGAAGAATGACAAAAATGATCCATAACATTAGAAACCTTCCATATGAAGAAAGACTGAAAAGCTTAGGCTTACATTCATTAGAGAGGCGTAGAGTTAGGGGAGATATGATAGAGATGTACAAGTGGGTAAGTGGGATTAACAAGGGTAAAATGGAAGATGTTCTGAAGCTCAGTAATAACGAAATAACTAGAACAAATGGCTTTAAATTAGATAAATTCCGATTCAGAAAGGATATAGGCAAGCACTGGTTTGGTAATAGAGTTGTGGATATGTGGAATAGGCTACCGAGTGCTATAGTAGGATCGGGGACGCTAGGGAGCTTCAAGACGAAGTTGGATAGGCACATGGAAGTGCTGGGATGGGTGTGAAAGGGATCTGCCCTGTATGGGCCAGTCGGCCTCCTGCAGTATCCCACTTTCTTATGTTCTAGTAATACTGACACATGGGGGACACAGGTACCTACTAGTAATACTTACACACGGGGGACACAGGTACCTACTAGTAATACTGACACAGGTACCTAGTAGTAATACTGACACAGGTACCTAGTAGTAATACTGACTCATGGGGGGACACAGGCACTTGCTAGTAGTAATGACATGGGGGACACATGGTACCTAGTAGTAATACTGACTCATGGGGGGCACAGGGACCTACTAGTAATACGGAGACACAGAGGACACGGACTTACAGTAAAACCTTGATAAATTGGACTTCAATATATCAGAATTCACTTTTTTCAGACTTTGATAAATTCTGGTCACAGAAATAATAATAAAAAAGTTTGCTCTTATTTTTATCTTTATAGTGCTGTACAGTATACAGTTTTCTCTTTATTCATAAGACAAATTCTGTGGTTACTTCCATATAACACCTTACAGTAAATAACAATCATCTCCGTGACAACAGTCGTTGACAACCAGACTTATATGTCTGATTCTCAACCCCGAGTTCTGTTTCATATTCTTTTTTATTGTTGATGTAATATTCTTTTAATAACCTTGTTATACACTTAAAGACCTTAGTTGTTTAAGTGCACTAATAACATAACCGATTTTCTTTAAACAGTTCAGAGAAGCAGTGTTATCTCCAACCCCCCAACCCCATATATTCGCTTTTTTGGGACTCGGGTCTGCCCCAATTAGTCCGTTTTATCAAGGTTCTACTGTACTGTACTAGTAATACTGACGACATGTGGAGGACACAGGCATTTAAGAGGGAAAAACAAAACAATCAACATGTGGATCTAAAATTTCACTCTTTATTTTCCAAAAAAGGCCATCTGAGCCTCTCATATGAATTCATTACTTAATCTAATTTACAAATATAAAATAATTCTAGTACAGTACAGTATATAGAGAAGTTTTAAATTAATATCGTGGTATCTCAGCTGGGAGAAGACATCAGGCTCCACATTACCAGCCAGGTGTTGTATTCGCCAATCGTCGCATTCTCCTGCAAAATTTTACTAGATTAGGAACTTTCTTTGTAAAAAAAACATGTAATTGCCTACTAGCATGAGTAACAACAACAAATCTCTGATAATAATTACATTTTGTATAAAAGTATACAGGAGTACAGCACTGTGACACCAGTAATTCTGAATAATATTAAAAATCAAGTGTGTTAACAGTACAAACTGTATTACGGTACTGTAGGTGAGTATGAAATACCCATATACAGGGGGCCCTCGAGTTAAGAATGTCAGACTTACGAACACCCGCTGATATGAACAAGGTCCCATAAGGTCAACAATTTTAAGAATCTGACATAGGTATGACTGGTTCGTAGTATTAACGTACGAAAACTAGCTTGTGTGGCATAGTGGCGAGACAGAGTGGCAGGTAATGAGTCGCCCAGCCACGTGCCTTGAGGGAGTGTCAGTACGCTTTACACTCACTTCATTAACGTGTGTGATCAAATGCAAACTGTTGTTTTTTGCTTATTAACTCTTATTTTTTTGCCCTCATCATGGCTCCCAAACACAAACCTGATGCAAGTGACAGTAGTGCTTCCAAGAAAAAGGAATTACAATGGAAGTGAAAGTTGATGTAATTAAACGTTCTGAAAAAGGTGAAACACCCTCAGTCGGGCAACGATCGGAACAATTATGAAAGACAAACAGAAAAATCTTGAACATGTAAAAGGATCTACACCAATGCACTCAACTGTGATAACAAAACAAAGATGTGGACTGTTAATTGGAATGGAAAGATTGTTAGTGATATGGGCGGAAGATCAGCCAGCCCAAGGTTTCAATGTATAGTTCCCTTCACTAGTGCATTTACAGGGGCTCATCAAGTTTTGTGTAGTGTGGCAGCCCTGTGTTTGTTTACATTTGACAGAAGAAAACTTGCAGTAGTAAACATACTATGGAATCAAATTAAAACATTTAAACAAATATCTTAAAAGATACAGTGATATCCCCTTTAGCCAGAACAATTGGTGCAGAACACTTCCAGGAATGAGAGATTTCAGGGTAACGAGACGACTCTCTAAAAGCCGGAAAAATATCCTTCATGCCAGGTATTTTCCGGGAAATAAATTATTTCCTCGGAATTTCCAGAAAATGCGCCTGATTTTCATCTCTCAAACCTGCAAAAAATCCCCCACATCCATAATTTCCCAGATATCGGGAAATTTTCTTGGAATTTTCCGAAAAATGTGCCCCTCGGAAAATCGTTCCCAAAGCCGTAATTTTCCGGAAAACTCTGGTTTTGGGAACGATTTTCCCAGAAAATTTCAATTCCGTCCATCGGAGAGTTCCGGGTTTGAGGAATTCTGACTAACAGAGATATTTCTGCAATGATTTGTGGGATGTTTATAGAATGAGCCCCTGTAAATCACTAGTGAAGGGGATTGTAAGTGTTAAGCTTTAATTTTTCTTTCCTTTACTGTACTTTGTCATTCAATTTCTTATTTTCTCTTAAAGAAAGTGATATGAGATGTATAAAAAGACTTAGGCTATGATATACAGTCATCCCTTGGTTATAGCGCACTTGGTTATTGCGATTTTCGTTATCGCGCCTCCATCAAAATCTGCACACCTGCTGTTATAGCGCATTTTTCAAGCCGAGAATTTCGTTATCACGCAGTTGCCTCCAGGTGTTTTTACCCATTTGCTTCACCTACATCTATTGAGGATAAAATCTTTCACCTACAAATTGACAATAACACATTTGCTGTAATCAGACATATCTAAGTTGCCTCAACAATTACAACCCCAGTTGCAATTTCAAATTCTGTGTCATTACTAAGGAATAACGAAGTCTCGGGTGCACTCTAAGATTGAGAGAAAACGAAGGACTCAGGCGTCTTGAAGCAATGAGAAAATGGACTCCTCAGATGGGGGACTCAAATAAAGAAAGCATAGCTACATGTTTTGTGGATCATACCATTTTCATCATTGTAATAAACCTAGCCATGCCTAGGTATGTGTTTTTCTGATACTTACCATAACATTATCTATATATTTAGTGGGTCTAAATCAGTGGTGTCAAACTCAATACCTTTCGAGGGCCAATTCTTATTTTAGTTACCCTCCTCAGGGCCAACACAAGTGCTATATCACATATTTGCAGGATTGAAATTTACACCTTCACACATTGCCTTACCTGGCTTACCCGGAATACCTCATTTGGGGGTGTCTGATCTTAAGTATGTAAAATTCATTTTACTAAATAAACATGATTATGTCTATTTCTTTCATAATTTCACGGGATGATAAATTTTACTGTCATCCTGTGGGCCACACCTGACCATCCCAAGGGCCACATTTGGCCTACGGGCCATGAGTTTGACACCCCTGGTCTAAATGGTAGTAAATTGGGAAAATTGGGGTTGGGTCTTTGGTGCCTGGAACCAATTAGAATAAATCCCATAGGTTCTGTACTTTCGTTATCGCGTTTCTCGTTATCACGCACTCGGCGGGGTCCCAATTAGGTGTGATAACCGAGGGATGACTGTAGTGCACATAGGGTATGTGTTCCGACTTAAGAATGTCCTCAGGAACGGAACTCATTCGTAACCCGGGGACCCCCTGTACAGTACAGTACCTCAGATAACCAACCTGTTTTGACAAATTATTTCCTACTTGTCAGTAGTAACCATAGAATCTTGATTTAAATTTTTAGGGGTGAGAGCAATTGGTGCTTATATCCTCCAGTCCCTCTGGTGAGGGGTTCAATTATGTGAGGCCGGGCTTTTCTGTTTGTCACACTCCAGGGATGAAAGATGCGTCTGTGGGTTTGTGGCCACAGACGACCCAGATGTAGACATATCTGAGGGACCCACACCAGAGTCAACCCCTGGAGATAGCTCCCCTGAGGGTAGATCTGTAGAGGTGACCCAGGCCAGGGGTCCCAGCTGCCAGTGTAAGTATAGCTGGGAGTCCCCCCCCCCTCCCCAATGCAACAAGGTTACTGGTTACTGGGGGGGGGCATAGCTTTTGATACAAAGTATCATTTCTGGAATTTCTGGATATTTATCTAGTTGCATGGGAATATTAAAAAAGATTTTATGGAAAATAAAACCAGAAAAGTTCCAACCTGGTATTTCTGTCTTGGTCCCTGATTTTCTTTTCCATTTCAGCATCAGTGAGGGTCTCAAGGAATGGGGACCACTGTTCTGCTTCACTCTGCGACCGGAATGGGACTTCCACGCAGGGCAGAGGAGATTCACTGTTTTAAAAAATTAATAATCATCAAAAACTTATTACAAATACACCTGACATGCACAAAGGATCTAAGCTACAGTATTTTGTTGCACAGCAAACCCAGATCCTACAAATCAGATTGGATTCCAACTATATGGGTGGAGGGGGTGTCTGAGTAAGTGGTGGGTGCCTCTGTGGAGCACTAAAGTGAGGTGTGTCTTACAAGTATAAATAGTGTACAGTACATTGTGTCACCTGCCTTATTCTTGAAAAATCAATAAGTACAGTACTTTATTATTAACATGTACTGTGTGCTTCTATTTTTCATCATACAGGTGTGCAGTAATAATGTATACCATATGAAACACTTCTGCTTTGTACACTTCTCTTATTATTCTCCCATTATTTTAGACGTTGGGGCCGCAGCCACGAAGGAAAGTGTATAAACTTTTATCCACAGTATCCATTCCAATTGTGTTACAAAGATGAATTGGTACTGTAAAGATTCTGAATAAATTCTCTACAAGTTTTTTTTTAAATAAAATATCCCGAAAAAATTATTTGGATAATGATAATAAAAAACGAAAAGAAAAAAGTAACAAATGCCCATAAAATAGTTTACCCGTATCTAAAAGTTTGTTCAAACAAATATACAGGTAAACCCTATTTATAACAGGGTTGCATTCCTGAAAACCCGAACATAAATCACGAGCCTTTAACCATGGTTTTCAATGAGATACATTCCTGGCCTGTCCAACACAGAAAAAAATGATCCTACACTAATCAAATAAATACCAATCACTCGCCACATAAATAATAATAACCCTGGCACTCACCAATGTCTAACTTTGTCTTCAGAGACCAGCTCTTCTTCCAAGTCTTGCCTTTCCCAGAGGCGGGAGAGTCAGCAGGATGCTTGCTAACCATTTTCAAAGTCACAGTTACACTGATCACTTCAGGAGCCAAAACAATGCAGCCAGTGGATAGCTTACCCCATTACTCTGTTTTGGTCCAAGTAAAGTACTGTACACATCTCTCTGCCTATAAACCGTAAATGTTTTGACAATAAATTTTTAAAATACCAAGATCCACAGGAAGTTTTCAACCAAAAGACACCTCTTAGTTTTTCAATGTGGTGAGCAATAACAGTCAAAAGACACAATATAGCCTATCTTAATTTACACATATAATTATAGATACAATATATAAATAAGTTTGTTAAAAAAAATAAAATTATATGACTATCTTGAGTTACTTTACTTTCCACATAACCAAATAACAATTAATTATCTCCTGTATGTCTAAAAAATAACCCAAAATTTCATGCAATGTGACCCATGAAAGCAAAACACTCCATATTATAATTATTTGGTAAACATCTTGGGGCCATGCTGTGTAAAGGAAGCACCATAGCAGCGAGAGATTGAGCGATGGTGAATGAACTGAGACTCGGTGATGCTCTTAATTCCTGCCGCACAATACCATACCATAACAGGGAATAGTTTGCGCTTGTGATAAAAGAAAAGACGGATTAACCTGGCACAAACCTAAAGGCATAAGTCCGCTGGTGCCAGAAGAGCTGCCCTCGAACAGAATATGCAATTGCCGTTACAAATTCGCCGCCCAGACCCAATTCAGAACACAATTTTGAGGCGAAGTCTTCTGGTGTGTTCTCGGGTGAGGCCATATCCCATTCAAACTGGTCATTGAGTGAAATATTACCGACATGGATGTTCAACTGCAAAATGAAAAAAGAAATTATGAAATAAATTATAAAATACAGTATTCATTTTAATATACAAGAAATTAATATTTAACTATATATTTAGGATGCATTGCTTTCATTAGGAGACTTTACCTTTATACCTTCTCAGCTTCTCTTCCCCAACTATAGTACAGTATTTCCAAGCTAACCTGGCCTGTAAGCCGCGCCCTCGTCTATAGGTACAAATACCCTGTAGCTGATTGGTTCATAGAAAATGTTCGTGTAGCTGTCCATTTATTCAAACTAATTATGTTGACAATTGGTAAGCAGACTTGTTATTCTCTAAAATAATGTAAAATAATTGGACTTTGAAAATGTAAATGATTTCACGGCATTAGCACTTCAGAGAGGATGTTAGAAAATTTTTAATATTCTTGAGTCAATAAGCCGAGTACAGTACTAGGAGAAAAATGCAAACAAAGTTCACCATTGTAACAACAGAACCAGAGACAACGGCACTTGACAAAGCAGTTGCTAGGTTGTTCTATGTAAGTACTGTACTGAAAACTTGTGAGTAAAAGCAGTATATTTGAAATAACAGAGTTAAGTGGGCAAAAAAATTTTTTTTTTTAAATAACCGTGTGGCAAAACCACGTCACCCACTTTGGTGCCAACCCTGGCCGGTTCACCCATGCTGGCTACTGGTTGTACAATGAAAGACAAAAGTCATGTTGTGAAATTTGGTGAAAACATATGCCGATGGGCTAAACTTTTGGTGCGCTCTGCCTTGTGGTAGGGCTCTCATAATGATTCACGAGTTATATTTAATCTTCGGACAAAACAGCAACACGACTTTTGTCTTTAATTGTACATGTTAATAAAATATAAAGTAGTACTTAACAGAAACATAATTTATTTTGAAATTTTCTCCCACCACTTAGGTATAGAGTTCCTCTATTCCTATGCTCCTTCACTGAATAGTCATAAATCGCCCGCCTCTCTTCCACACAAGATATCATAGTTGAGCATCACATTCACCCACGTTGATTGTATGAGCTGTGACTGGACCAGACATGTGCCAGTCATGACTCAGCCTTGTCTTGTGCAGTCAGTGTCGATGCTCTCATTTAATCCATCGTGTTTTTGTGCATCAGGCGTGACTGATAGCGTTGCAAATTTTTGTCTCGTCTTGTCTGTTCAGTGTGAAACCAGCCTTATCGTGACACCGGGCAGTACTTACCTTTACGACTATTCTGGTGTCTGAGTTATCCGAGATAATATTCTGAGAGGGGTACTGATCAACCTGCTGTTTGATAGCTGTTGAGATGGCTGGCACGAACATTAGAGGATTTAAGTCCAAGTCGTCACACAGAAGCTCAGCAAACTGTTCTGGACTCACCAGCATCTCTGTGGAGAATTATTATGTTGTATTTTACATTTTGTAATTATCTTTACCTATCTATTTCTGCGCTGGGTGGTGGTAGATCAAGGGATAAAAATATTTCCCAGTCCTGGTTTTGCCACCTCTAATGCCACATGACTCAAGTAAAGGTAAGCTTATGTGACACTAGCAAATGAACAGGAATTACATCTTGAGGAGAGATTACCTCCACCAGTGGCTTACAATTATGATTGTTTGTTTGGAATTATTCTAAAAGTTACATTCTTATGGTGTATAAAAACCCCGAGCGTAGGTTCAGTATTCCTAGTTAGCTTGACTTTGAACATTTTCCACCCTGCAACATGAACAATACAGACTGATTCTTATCAAGTCCCTAAGGGTTATAACCAACACAACCTCACAATAAAAACTTATTCCTTATTTCACACAAACTTAAAAAAAAATAAATAAATAAATAAAATAAAATAAAAGTGCAAATCAGTATTAAAAAATTTAAAGATGAGAAACAATATGCCAGTTAACTACAAGAGTCTGGGAAGATCTGACCATAATGTACTAAGTATTGTACAGTACAGTAGAGATTTCCAGGGTCACCTAACATACCATTTTTATTCCAGGTGAAAGTGTCTCTCAGCTTCTGACCCTCAATTTCCATATCTAACCGGATGGGCACCAACTCCTCTCTCTGGCAGGAGTTCTCATGGATCTGTGCAGGGTCTAGGTCATCATAGCTGCAAAAAGTATCACACATTGTACATGATAAAATTACTAAAGAACTCTGGCAGATAATTCTCATAAAGTGACCAGTTATTTGAGAAACAAGTTAAATATAAACACCTATTTTTAGTGGTCAATTTTCTGGGGAAAATCTTAGCAAACAGCTTTAACCCTTAGGCCCCGGGTGATGCTCCAGAACGCGCGCCTTTTCCTGCCACTGTTTAAATGCCCAGTGTGGGTTATCAGGTTCCCGTGTGACTATTTGCCTGTCACACCACACACTCAGCCACACGGAAGCTTCCTGAACATAATTACCTACTTTTGTTTGTTTCATTTTCATTGTTTGTCCATTTTATCATGTTGTATCAAAGAAATATTGCTAAAAGTAGTGAAGTTGTATTGTATGGTAGTATTACTGGAAAATAATGCTTTGATTATGTTATAAATGTATTTATTTGTGGAATTATTATTATTTTATGCATTACTTGCTCTACCAAACACAAAGACAGCCAGTCAGCTGGAGACAGACTGCTGTGTCGCCAAGCACTTTTATATGAAAAATAATGAAAAAAAAATATTCTAAATGAATTAAATTATTTATAGGATATAATTATTATGATGAGTAAATATATGCATAATTGGCAATCCCGGACACAAAGACAGCCAGACAGCTGGCAAATGACTGCTGTGTTTCACCAAGCACTTTTTATGAAAAAAATAAAAAATAAATAAATAAAAATTAAATTAATTATTTATTGGAGATAAGTATTATGATCAGTAAATATATTTCATTATTGGCCATCTCGGACACAAAGACAAGCTGAAAATAGCCCTCCCTTCCCACAAACACCACCATCACCTCTCTTACCACATAGGGAAGGTGCGGATCTTTTTAGATATAATGCGATTACGGTTAATTGGTGTTGCTTGGGGCACAGCATCAAGATGAGATGAGTTGGAGATGGTGGGAACCCATGGAGCTGCAGGCTTCTTCACTTGGCGTTCAGCTCTGCTAAAAAAAAATAAATAAATAACAAAAAAAATTATATATATATATATATATATATATATATATATATATATATATATATATATATATATATATATATATATATATATATATATATATATATATATATATATATATATATATATATATATATGCAGTATCTACAGTATTTACTGTAATCCAAAATTCTGAATGCTGTCATCATATTGTAATTCCTAAGTCACCAGTTTAGCCCTTTCACAACAGGGACACAGCTTTTAACATTTATTTGACAAATGCCCAACAATTATATTCAGCACAGAGATACTCTCATACTCAAGGACTTAATGTCCTTTGTATCTGCATTTTATTATACAGCTGCTCCTCGACTTACGACGGGGTTAGGGACCCAAATCCAGGTCGTAAGTCGAATTGGTCGCAAGGCAAAAATGCTTAAATAATACATAGAAAATCTAAAATGGGTGTCTATTTTTCTTCTTAGCACCACAAAACTCTTACTTTTAAGCTTGCCAGTCATTTTAAAGTGAATTACAAACGAAAAAATTTTCAGTACACAGCGCAATCACTAACGTTGGGGCTCGAAAATACGTAATTTGACAAAATTCTAGTACGACTGAGGCGGTCGTATGTCCGGGCGGTCGTAGGTCGAGGAGTAGCTGTATAGTGTAATTTTCCTTTATAATGTAACTATAATATGGACACAGTACATCCCTTTATGATTTTCTACTGTACAGTAGCTAAAACAACTATCTGTGCAGGTGGGGGTCAATATGCTCCAAAATTTTACGTGTGACTAGTGACAGCCTTGTATACCAAAATTTATCATCCATGGTCTCATATTGTTCCCACAAAGTATGCACAGATACTTGTTTTAGCTACTGTACATTATTATGTGAACATTGAGAGAAGAGGGATGATGAGATGGCCCCTGCTACTGGGGTCTAGGGTGAGGGATGGTGCTGTGTTATACTGTACTGTATACCTGAACATAATAAACTGTACTGTAGTTATCCTTCCCATTGATAGTGACATTTTCACTTAACTGTCAAATGGGAAAAAATTAGAGCACACACGGTAGAGTATTACCTGGCGGCAGCTGCCTCCGGATCCTGTTGTTGACGCACCGACACGGCTTTGTATTTATCCTCATTCCCCTCGATGATGTCCTCAACCTCTGAAGCTCTCAACAGTGAAATATTGGATGCTAACACATGCTGAGTCAAACCTGCAACACCTATTACATTAGCTGTGTTGGCATTTCACTCTTCTACTTGTTGGCTTTATGACATTATTTCCACTCTATTGTCAGAGTTTATCAAAAGGGTAGCACCAAGTTCCACACAACAGGACAGGATATACCTATATACTGTATCTAATATCACAAAGAAATGTTCCTGGCTTATTCAACCCCTGTAAGCATGAAGATGACTTGATCAGTACACCTCTTGCCCGGTACAGGCACACAAATTTTAACAGGATGCAATTTTTTTTAATCCAAAATGGTGTACAAAAATTAGTTACCCCTACACACAAGAGAGCATCCTCAACATATAAAGATTATGACTTTTGTAAGTTAACAGTACAACCTATCATTTTTCCTTTCAAATAATATTAGAATTAACAAGATACGGCCAAAGGTCTCATGATCCCCAATCACCATAGATCAAACACAACTAAACCATTAATGACCCAATTAAGACAGAGACCACAACACAATGATTAATTTAGGTTACACTGGAGCCTATTCAACCAGTCACTACAACACTAGGGTATTATACAGGTACTATACACTCCCTTCCTTACCAAGTTCCATTAACTTTTTTCGTTCATCATTGGTGATTGAACGTCTATACATGCCAGGGAATTTCTTATATAATGACCCACGGAAAAGCCGCAGGTAATTGCCAACCTGAAATATGCAAATATTTGTAATTAGAGAATGAGAGATTTGAGGACTACTGTATCATCATATAATCTGATATTATTTAAAGAAGTAATCCAACACTTTTATTCCTCACCTCAGATTATGTTCCCTAGATTATTTTTTTTTTAATTAAATCAAGAAATAAATTCATCTAATAAACTAAACATAGTCTTAACCCGAGGGGGGAAGCCATCACCATATCTCTAACAAAACACATCTATACACAATATACCTCCAACAGAACTCAAGTATTAAGTATACTCTACATATTAACACTCCTTTACCTCTGATCCAATACACCAGAACTCGCCATTTTCCTCTAGTTGGAAGCTGACAGGTTTATCTCCGTAGGTCTTCGCCATCTTGGACCAAGCCACTGACTCTCTTAAACATCTTCACATTATGTCTTTTTTCTTCTAATTTTAATTTATATTAGTAGAATTATTATTATAACTAGATTAATTAGGAGTATTTTGGTTTTTGAATGTATTTATATGTGTTATTTTGATGGAATGGTGATTTATTTAGTATATTTATGATATTATGTGACCCGGGTCTATGGCCTCGCTGGGTCCCTTAAGAGTTGTTTATAAGTTTTTTTTTTTATTTATTAATTTATTGATTAAAATAAGATGATATGAAATTAATCTTACAGTCTTTTTGTAGTTTTGATTAGGTTTTACTACGTTAGTTTATTATTTGTCGTCTGGTTAACTTTATTTATAGGTTAGGTTATATTGGGTTAGGTTAGGTTAGGTTACATTGGGTTAGGTTAGGTTAGGTTAGGTTAGGTTAGGTTAGGTTAGGTAGTGAAAGATCTGTCATTTACTGCTGGATATGCCCAAATGATCTAAAAAAAATTAACGACTTTTGCAATGGTAATTACTCGCCACCTATTGTTTTTTAAATGCCACATTTTGGTGTTTATGTGTAGTACCTTGAACATGATAATTAACACCAAAATGTTACCTTGAAAAACCATAGGTAGCGAGTAATTAGCTTCAGCAACTCCTAAATTAATAACCATCAAACTTACTTAAAAATGTTATTGGAATAAAAATCTGGTGAAATATCAGTAAAGGTTTGGCTAGTGTAGGTTATGTTAGACCAGATTAAGCCAGTGTAAATGAGGTTAGGTTTCATTACCTTCTTCTACTGACCATTTCGAGAGCCTTCAAAACAAATCAGGTCATTGTGAAGTAAGAAAATTGAGGCTCCTGACAGATGCTCAAAACTTGACCACTGGAGGGCTGACACCATGGAAGAGGAATAATGTGCCACCAACTGTATGATATATTTTACCAGAGGAAAAGAAAAGGAACTAATTAGCACAACATCTTTATTTAACTTAAAAACAAAACTATGTACAATATCTATCTCTTTGATATGTGTTATGTTCTATTTCTAATATTAAAACTCATTCCTGTACTGTTCCAACACACCAACAAGTGTATTACAGTACAGTTTTACCAATAACTCAGTAAGTCTATACAACTGGTGCTCATAACTGTAGGCTATAATATGGTGTTACTAGTCTAACAGCACAACTACTGTACTTCAGTATTATGGGACATTCACAATAGTTAACCCCTTCACTATGGGGTTAATTACAGTATTTTATTTGGCTAACAGGAGACGATTCTATTCAGCACACGCTGCACACTGATAAGTTTTGTCATCAATGTACACAACCACTTGATCCATAAATTGAGCCATTATTACACACTTTTTCACACCATTAATGAGTAAATCTTTCTGTTTTCAACTTAAGACTTGGATATTTGTTAATTTACATAAATCATGTTTACAATGTTCTCCTGAATATGTTTACTAATCTTCTTCAGTTGTAAAGAATTGTTCTAGACTACAGTAATTGTGCCTCAGTGTACTAGTGTTACAACCTTGAGGCTCTGACGGCACACAACAAGCCAGAACCTACATCTCTTGAGGACATTTGATGATCTTTGTAGAGGTTTAATACTACGGCAGGTTGTGGTGGGAGATGTTTGTCTGGGATGGCCTCCTAATGTTACCATAATGTTCCTTTCTTACATCCTCTCACATGTTTTATGTCTGAAATAAAGTGGACATTGTTAAGGTGCAGGACTATTGTAGTTCTTACAAACTGCTCTCTTGATTAACCTTTATTGTCTTTGTCATGAAGCTGTAAGAGAAATAATCTGTGCAGTGAATATTTCAACAGTTGATCATGATGCTCCTGTCTTGTCCCTCATTGATGTGCTGGACAGTATCACTGTTTATATAAACGAACAATATCATTAATATATACAGGGTACTCGCTTACTACAGATTTACATAACCTTATCATACTCATTCAAGATGAGTGAAACCTTGGTAGAGATGAGGTAAAATTAAAATTACCAACCTGAATGGGCAAATGGAATTCTTAATGAAATATTATCCCTTTGAAAAAGTAACCGTGACTATATTATCTATTTATTTAAATATTATTGTACTGTACAGGAATAACCAAATAAAGTTGATGATTTGGTATGTAACAACATATGTGATACTGTCCTGTACACTGATCAGTAAAAGGTTGTTTGTGGAAAAAGAGACATTAATTGCCAATATTTAATTAAAACAGGGATTTTTTCTCCTTTAATATATTTGAAATTTATTTAACAGTCAGACTTACAGGCATCTTCCTCTACATCAGAGTTACTTAGCTACTATTTTTGAAGGTCCGGTTACAGTACACAAGTATCCGAGGTGGCAAAGGTCCGGATGAATGGCGGCATTTAAAATGACATAAAAATAAACAAATAAGACTACAAGAGATAATAAAAAAAATACAGTACAGTACTGCTAATTAAATATGTACTTTAAAAGGAGAGAGATGAGATGCTGGGGTCCGCACCTGAGCTCGCTGCGGTCTACACTTAAGTCACAGTTTGTCTTGTACTTCATGTCCAACCATTATGTACTCCTGTTTGACACTTTATCATAACTGGTGTTATTTCATATCAACTTTCATAGATGTGTGACAGGTACTACACAGTACATATATTAAATATTTAGATGATAAAACTAATTTGATTTTTATGTTACTAAACAACGGTGTGTGTGTGTGATGATACAGTATTATTATCATAGTTGGTGGTGATTCCTTTCACCACATTGACATAAAAGGAAATTTTTTACTTGAGAATTCTTAACGATTATTATATTTCAGGACGTGCAATAAGCAGTAGGAATAGTCTGATCCTGTTATTGTGAAGAACTTATATAATGTTTCCTGTTTTTTACAATGATCAGATGTTATTCCTACTGATTTTTAGGTTCCTGTTCATTGCACGTCCTAAAATATAACAATCATTTAGTTGTTCTCGAATAAAAAAATGACCCTGTTCTGTACATTACTGTATATCATTCATCCTCCAGCCCTCTTGGTTACCCTTAAGAGATAAATGTAGACTTTAAAACACAACACAGTTTTTTCTACGACTTTATTAATAAATATTGTACTAAAGCATGAAAATACATAGCGGTACAGCACAGATATTTACAGTACATACATGAAAAGTTCAGGCTAGTGGCAATAGGGTTCATGCCAGTACTTTCTAGATTCACAAGACTGACTGGACGAGTAAATGACCGTGACAACGTAAAGCGTCGACACACACGACTCTACTGTGTTATACTGTACGACCAATGACCAAACACAAGATTCTGTACACTCACCATCTTCACAACATAATACTGTAGTGTGTACTGTACAGTCTCAGTGTTTACTAGGTACTCCACTTGTTGTGAGAAACAGCTTCAGTAAGAGTTTGAAAAAGTAAAACTATTTCCCACAAATAACACCTTATAAAATCTGAACAACAAGTGTCAAGAGAAGTACTGTAGTGCAGTACAGTATAAGGCTTATGTTAAGAATGAATGTTTAATGTGGGTGTTTGTAAATATCCACATGCAATAACATCAAGTCAAACAGTGGATAACATCAACAAAATCACCAATGCCTGCTCAGACAGCCTGGCCTCTATAGTCTCATGTATCAATGATCACATCACATTATCCCTCACAGCTCAGGTACTCTTGTAGGTACAGTAGCACAGTGAGTCATGTGTTCACTTGGTATTACGTTCATTCTATGCATGTATAACTCAGTGATGTACAGTATTTGATTTTCTTTTTGTATTGGACAGCTCATAACAGAAATTGAAGAAATATTGAGTAAATCACACTTAATAATTACAAGTACAGTACTGTAGCTATCAAGAGAAGTACTGTATAGTATTCACAATGTGCCAGGGGTGGACATTCAGGCAATTTGTCATAAATTAGAGAGATTCATACCACTAATAATTTAACAAACATTTGGCCTCTGCCGGTTTTCTTACTCAAACATTCAATTCTCTTATGAAGTGTGGGTAGCAATATGCTTCTTCAGATACTCTTTTCTAAAAAAACTTTTTCCACATTCTGCACAACTGAAATTTCTCTTGCCAGTGTGTGCAAACATATGTTGCTTTAGGTGAGTCTTTTTATAAAAACATTTACCACATTCTTCACACTTAAAGTTTTTTTCACCAGTGTGGAAAACCATATGCTTCCTCAAGTTACCCACTAAGGAGAACCTTTTACCACAAATTTCACATTTAAAATTTCTCACACCAGTGTGCACAAGCATATGCTGTTTTAAACCACTCTGTGAGTAAAAACCTTTGCTACACACTACACACTTGTACCTTGTCTCACCAGAGTGCAAAATCATATGCTGCTTCAACTTCCTCTTCAGGTAAAAACTCTTATCACACATATCACATTTAAAATTCTTCTCACCAAAGTGTACAGTCATATGAACAGCTAGAGAGTTCCTGCTGCCATAAACCTTCCCACACTCTTTACACTCCAGTTTGTTCTCACCGGCATGGACAGACAGGTGGTGATCTAGTGTACTCTTTTCATGATATAATTTACCACAAACTTCACACAAAAAATTTTTCTCACCCAAGTGAACAGTCATCATGTGTTTCTTGACGTTACTCTTGACAGAATAACCTTTACCACACACTTCACACTTGAACTCTTTATCTTTTGCATTGGTGCTGTGGACAGCCATATGCCTCGTCACATGACTCTTCATACTAAATGTTTTACCACACTCTTCACACTTGAAATTTTTCTCACTTGAGTGCACAGCCATATGTCTCCTTACACCACTCTGTGTGTGAAACCTTTTACCACATTCCTCACATTTACATTTTCTCTCATCAGTGTGCACAGTCATATGTCTCTTCACATTACATTCAAAGTAAAATTTCTTACCACATTCTTCACACTTAAAATTTTTCTTACCAGTGTGCACAGCCATATGCCGTTTCAGATTACTCTTAGTGTAGTAACTTTTATCACACAGTTCACACTCAAAAACCTTCTCACCTGAGCCTGCAGCCTCATGACCCTCTGTGATACAAATTTTACTTGGTTCTTCACACTTAAATTTGTTCTCCTCAGAGATCACTGTCATATGTTGTGTTGGAATATATTTACTCTCATTTTCATCAAACTCTTCACATTTGAAGTCTTCCTTATCAGTGACCTCATCCATACAAACATGCAGTTGTAAATACTCTTTACTATCAAAACTTTTACCACACTTTTCACACGTATAGTTTTTCTCTTTAATATACACAACTACTTGATCTATAGACTGGGCCATTTTGTCTGAAACGTTACTACAGTGTGCACACATAAACCCTTCCCATCATTGTGCACATTCATTTAGGATTTGCTTCCAGTAAAGGCTTTTCCTCACTCCAAACAAACAAGTTTCTGCTAATAGTTTTATACATGTATGAAGTTCTTCAGGTTACTCTTCAATGTTTGTCACAAGTACTGTACTGTAATCCTCCCTTCACCAGAGTGCACAAGGACACTACACAAACACTTGTCAAATTTTCACACTTCAGTTTAAACCTGATGCTGTACAACAGTGTACACAAGCGCACAGGTCAGAAGGTATTTTTTTATGTGGAAATATTACTAGTAATGTTTAGACAGTATTTACCACAGTGCAACACTTCACTGTTACTGTCATCAGGAAATATTTCACTTTCATAATCCATCTTTTCGTTCTGGTTATAAGTTATGTACTTCCCTCGTACAAGAATTTAACTTATAACCTCTCCAACACAAGACGGAGATTTGTCTAGTTATGTTACCTTTAGTGTTGAAATGATGTTCAGTGATCCTTACTCTGGTTTAATATACTGTACAGTACACATTTTGGGAACTGTTGTTCCTCCCATTGTGTGAGAGTGTCACAGGCATAGATGCTTTCCATCTGTGAGCCTCAGAGAAGTTTGGATGTCATAGCTAAAATGTATGGCAACATACACAAACCAACTTTGTATGTAGATATAAATCTCAGTAATATATCTAACAAGTTGAATAATCATCATTTTCCATCATCTAGTCCAATGTTATGGTCCTTTTGGCTATTGTGACATAGAAAGGGATTTGCCCACTGATAGTAGCTATCCTGTTCTTAAGTGATTCTACTTCCTTTCTGGCAGTCCCAGCATGTAACAACCTACACAGGAATGTGGGCTCTGACAGCACATGAGCCCAGATACTACATCTCTTGAAGATATTTATAGATAACTGTAGAACTTTAATACTAGGTTCTAGATGATGATCTTTGTCTGGGATGGCCTCCTGATGCAGCTAGGTAAGGATCCTTTTAATTTATCCTCTCACACCTTTTATGTCTGAAATAAATTGGACAGTATTAAGTCTGAGGACTGATCTTAAGAATCAATGCCCTGTTTATTATAATTTTCCTCTGTCATTCACTTTAAGAGGAACTGTCCACTGGCATAAATATTTCAACAGAGGATCATAACATGTTTGGTCAATCCCTAAAGTGATTTGTCACCACTTGAAAAACATCAACAAAATCACCAATGCCTGCTCAGACAGCCTGGCCTCTATAGTCTCTGATATATCAATGATCACATCACATAATCCCTCACAGCTCAGGTACTCTTGTAGGTACAGTAGCACAGTGTGAGTCATGTGTTCACTTGGTATTACGTTCATTCTATGCATGTATAATAATGGGGTGAAAATTGATTTTTTTTTTATAGTGGACAGTTCATGAAAAGGTTAAAAATACTGGACTAATTCTGAGATCCAATTTTATAGCTCAGATGAGATTGAGAAACTTTGTATAGCCAGCAACCAAGAGTGCTGAATTCCTAATGTCCCAACCTATGGGACGTGGTTCTAAAAAAAGAAAGAAAAGAAGCTGCAACACTATCTCTAGTATCCCATACAAAAGAGAATCCAGATAAACCATGTGATGCCTGCAACAGCCAACATATTTTTGATAAATTGGATCTTCCTCTTCCAAACCTTATCTTTCATAAAATAGAGAATCCAGAGCAACCCAATAATGGTTTTTTAAAGTTGATAAGTAAATTCAACCTAGATGGGATCACAATTCCTTATGCCCCCTCAACAGAGGAATGGATCCCCCTGTATATAAGTGTCTGTCCAAAAAATGTAATTAATGTCAAAGGTTTCTAAGGCACGTTATATTCATCTCCACTCCTGAAATCTGTCATCCCAAACAAGAACATCCTTTCTCTGAGTCAGGTTTTAAGGACTAAAATAATTCATTCTGAAAGCCACAACTGGTAGAGTCCAAAGCTCAACTTCTAGAGTAACATTCACACTAATATACAATTGTTAGCAAATTGTCCCCAAAGCAAGATAGAGTGTAACTCCTTAGTAAGAAAAAGGATTCTCTGTCTGAGGCCCAACAGACGAGTTCCTGGTACTGTACTGGACACCATGTAAAGGGTAGGAAGTTTGTCTAGAGAGAACCTTAACTTTTGCCTATACCTAGACTGATTCACTCTATATTTTCCCAACTGCTCTTGGTGATGGGTACAGTACTTTGTTAATGAAAAAAAATAAAAAAAATAAATCGTTTTTGATTCTAACCATATCTGTAAAAGCTCAGTGATAATTCTCACATGGAAGCAAGGAACACTTTCACAAAGCGTATACACTTTTATTGTACTACTCTCACTACGTGTCCTGTATACACTACTTCGCTAATTGACTGAGGTTTCTGTATACCTTACTCCACCCCGGACAAGAGTGGGAGGGGAGTAAAGACTAAAGAACAGAAAACAGTACAGCACAGAGATATAGATACTGTACACCACTGTGATCTATAGAGAAATGTGCACCTGAGTCAATATGGTTGTAAAGTTACCTGAGACTTAACTCACCTGTATGATGGAGTGTTGTGAGTCAAGTGTGTCCTGCTGTGTTCCTTCCCTGGCCATGACATTTCTTCTTTCTTGTTAAACTGTTTGGTTTATTGTTCTACTTGCAGACAGACTGAACACTGACCTGAGAATACTTCTTATAATTAGCATCCATAGTATTATAATGTTTTATGTATTGGTACTGTAATATATGACATTTATAACTGATAATCAATAGTCGATAACCTGGCAAATAATGTACAGTACTGTATATGTAAACTACATAATGCTCATTATACACACTACTGTACTATACAAGACTGTAGTTGATACAATTTATATATGCTTTTAATCCTTAAACTGCTAACTCATACAATATTGCCTCTTTTCTTCTTTTTTTGGCATATACAGTACACCCTTGCCATATATTACCATTTATAACATTTATCTAAGGTTAATTTTAAAATTTAGAAAACTTTTTTTTTTTTTTTTGCACAGTAGACGTGGTCACAGATTTGTATAGCAGAGGTGAAGGGTTACAAAAGGATTATGAAAAACATTTCTGTAGCCTTACCCAACCTAAACCTAACCTATCTCATAATAATTCTTGTATGTCGGGTTACACTTGCTTACAATAAATTCATTTGGGTTATTGTAGGATACTATGTCCCAATACAGTATTGCTTGTTATCTAAGCTACTATGGTGATAAAGGCTCTGGCTCCACTAAGAAAAACTTCTCAAATTTGAGTACAGTACTAATATTTTAGGGACAGTTGTCTGGCACGGTACTCAGAACTAATGACACTGAAAAAAATTGCCCAAGAAAAATTACCACAGGAATAAAAGGCACAACTGTGAAAAAACACTAAATTATATTTCCTGCTCCATTTTCTCATACTTGTGTCCAGCACAATATGGATCATGTAAAGCACTCACTAAGTGTGTGTGTGTGTGTGTGTGTGTCTCTGTGTGTGTGTGTGTGTGTGTGCATATATTCGGTCAATTTTTACTTCAGGATATGAGTTGCTCGGGGTTGACCAATATGTTTTTCCAGTGTATTTTGGTGTGTTTTAAACAAATCTGACCTTCATTTTTTGCGGAAATTTATCGTCCTAGATGAATAAATCGGACTGCCAATCACTTCTCGACTAGTATTTGGTGTCAGAAAGTCACAAAAAATTGGTAAACTTAATTTAATCTGAGTTAATAGATCAAGTGCATGTACCTAACCTAACACAACACAACTCAGATTAAATTAAGTTTACCAATTTTTTGTGACTTTCTAACACCAAATACTAGTCGAGAAGTGATTAGCAGTCTGATTTATTCATCTAGGACCATTATTTGACTTCATTCCGGCTACATTTGGGTAATTAGTCAGACCGCATTTCACCTCTGCTTTGTGGCCCGAGTTGGATCAAAACTGACAAGGTAGGAAGGGCCATAACTCAATAATTATGGATGTCCCCAAAATTTCATTATCACAATTATATTCAAAACGAAAAATTGCATTAATATACAGTATGTTGTTTTTCAAGCCAAAATCGTCTGCTGGTGTTCATAGGGAAATTACTGATGATTTTACTGAATATCTATTAATCTATCTACCGGGTTATCTATCTGAAGCTGTAATACAGATACAAACTTACATACAACTACAGTACTCAAGCCATTGGAGTGTGGGGCGTCTGTCATGATGTATTCACCGGTTAAGATGTGAAAACTGGGCCAAGAACAAGCAGAGGACGACCATCACCGACCTCCAGCCACTTGAGAACCAAGGAGTCAGTGTTGCCAAGTCAGGAACCAACCATCAGACCACCAGTCCCTTACCACCAGTGTTGTCATGTTAGTCCCCTACCACCAGTGTTGTCATGTTAGTCCCCTATCACCACTGCCACCAGTATTGTCATGTTAGTCCCCTACCACCGGTATTGTCATGTTAGTCCCCTACCACCAGTGTTGTCATGTTAGTCCCCTATCACCACTGCCACCAGTGTTATCATGTTAGGCCCATACCACCGGTATTGTCATGTTAGTCCCCTACCACCAGTGTTGTCATGTTAGTCCCCTATCACCACTGCCACCAGTATTGTCATGTTAGCCCCTACCACCGGTATTGTCATGTTAGTCCCCTACCACCAGTATTGTCATGTTAGGCCCCTACCACCAGTGTTGTCATGTTAGTCCCCATCACCACTGCCACCAGTGTTATCATGTTAGGCCCCTACCACCAGTATTGTCATGTTAGTCCCTATCACCAGTATTGTATTGTCATGTTAGGCCCCTACCACCAGTATTGTTGTCATGTTAGTCCCCTATCAGTATTGTCATGTTAGGCCCCTACCACCAGTGTTGTCATGTTAGTCCCCTATCACCAGTATTGTCATGTTAGGCCCCTACCACCAGTGTTGTCATGTTAGTCCCCTACCACCAGTATTGTCATGTTAGGACCACCAGTATTGTCATGTCCCTATCACCAGTGTTGTCATGTTAGGCCCCACCAGTATTGTCATGTTAGGCCCCTACCACCAGTATTGTCATGTTAGCCCCTACCACCAGTGTTGTCATGTTAGTCCCTATCACCAGTATTGTCATGTTAGCCCCTACCACCAGTATTGTCATGTTAGCCCCTATCACCAGTGTCATGTTAGCCCCCACCAAGTATCATGTTAGCCCCTATCACCAGTATTGTCATGTTAGGCCCTACCAGTGTTGTCATGTTAGTCCCCTATCACCAGTATTGTCATGTTAGCCCCTACCACCATATATGTTAGGCCCTATCACCAGTGTTGTCATGTTAGGCCCTACCACCAGTATTGTCATTGTTAGTCCCCTATCACCAGTGTTGTCATGTTAGGCCCCTACCACCAGTGTTGTCATTGTTAGTCCCCTATCACCAGTGTTGTCATGTTAGTCCCCTATCACCACTGCCACCAGTGTTATCATGTTAGGCCCCACCAGTATTGTCCCCCTATCCCAGTATTGTCATGTTAGGCCCCTATCACCAGTATGTGTTAGGCCCCTACCACCAGTGTTGTCATGTTAGTCCCCTATCACCAGTATTGTCATGGCCCCTACCACCAGTATTGTCATGTTAGGCCCCTACCACCAGTGTTGTCATGTTAGTCCCCTATCACCAGTATTGTCATGTTAGGTCCCCTACCACCAGTGTTGTCATTGTTAGTCCCCTATCACCAGTGTTGTCATGTTAGTCCCCTATCACCACTGCCACCAGTGTTATCATGTTAGGCCCCTACCACCAGTATTGTCATGTTAGTCCCCTATCACCAGTATTGTCATGTTAGGCCCCTACCACCAGTATTGTCATGTTAGGCCCCTACCACCAGTGTTGTCATTTCATTTATGTATCATATCTCCACTTGTCAACTTATTAACTGTTAGGGCGGTTGGTCTGTGATTTGTTTCTCCAGTGTCCAGTGTTTGTACAGCAGGAAACCGGAGTTCAGTATCGGGAGAAAACCTGTGATGTCTTGTGTGGTGCTGTACGGTCACACTGGATAACACCCTCCTCACATCTCTCCCAAACCAGGAATCGAACCTAGGATTCAACTTTGAGAGATACAAGAGTTACTACTGTGCAAACTGCCTACCAAGTGTTGTCATGCCACTACCAAGCTTGTAACTATGAAAACAAAACAGGTGTACCACAAAAAACTTACAGGTTTCCATTATACTGTAGCTACAAGTACTGTACTGTAGACGGATTTTTCCTGCCTCCTGTTCATTAGTATAACATTTTCATATCAATGGTTAATAAGAACCTGAGGATTTTACTATAAATTAAGATAGCTCAAACGATCCACAATTTAACATACAGTACAGGTATTAAGAAATAGTTGGGTTCATATGAAGATTAGGCACCCAGCTTAATTCATCTTAAGATTAACCATCCTAAAGCTAACCTAACCTACCCTACCCTATCCTATTTTAAACCCCAGGTAACATTAAGGTGTTTAATCATCAGGTGAAATACGCTGGGAGTTAAACTGTACACTACAGTACTTACCAACCCAACCCAAGCTGTACAGTACAGTATGTGTTCTCTGCCTTGTGAACTACTGTACATATGGCAGGTACTGTTGCTACTATTTCTGCTGAACAAATACCTGTATTTTTTTCTTCCTTGTTTTTAATTTGTGTAAAATATTGAAGGGGTAAGGACAGTAACAGTGTGGTTTATAAATGTTTATGCCTGCACAGTGCTACAGAATATATTGATGGTTCTACTTCAAGAACAATTTAATTTTGTCCTAAAGTATAATACAGTGTAGTGTACAAGTACTAGCACAGTTAAAACCTTTTTTTTTATCTTATTATAACAGTGATTCATCTACAGTGCCTCAATCTCTTGTACCAATACAAAGATTAGATTTTTCTGAGCAAAATCTGTTACTGTTTCTTGTTTTACTCACTGTAACTTAATGTTCAGTTCTCTTCTCGTGTATCCAACCAGCTATGATTCCATATACTGTACTGTACTGTAGCACTGAAATTACACTTTCAGAAATCACAGTTACATTAGATCCAATGTTCCACAGTAATAATGTTTTCTTGTTCTACAGTATAATACAGTACTGTATTTATAAAAAAAAAGATAAAATGTTCTTGGTTAAAAAATGTTTAAAACTTTATATAATACAATAATGCATTTACCAATCCAGATCAGATAAAATTGTTAAAAGATCTGCCCATACAGGTACAGTACTGCATACCATTAACAAATCTGGGTAGTGCTTAGCAAAGTGGTGTCCAGAAGTGTACATCAAACACACACACACATGAAAGAGAGAGAGATTGTGTGTGTCTATGTTATGAAAGAAATTGCAGAGGATACGTGATACATTTAATATGGATGTAATGTATCAATTAGAAAAAAGAAACACCAAAATAATCCAAAGGTTAAACAGTATTTCTGTGATTCTTAACATCTTAATGAGTACAATACAGTACTGTAGTAATGTTTCATTATGATGTCTATTTAAAGTTTCACAGCAGACAGTTTTTTTTATACAGTGCCATCTGTCCAATTTTGATCGAACACCTCTGGCTGTGACCATGACCTTGAAGATATGGACCAAAAATTAGTAATATACAGTATGTGAAAAAATTGGGCTCTGGTAATGCATATTGTGGTATAGCTTCACAATGATCTGTGTTGCAGCTCTAAGTTATAGCCCTAGATGAAGAGAGGTACAGAGAAATAGCAAGATATATACAATGAACCTCCATTTCATAAGCAGGTTACAGTGAGATAATCTAAACAAACAGGTGGCTATTGTATTATACTATGAAGGTAAACATATGAAGAGTGGGAAAATATAAAAAAGATAGATGGAAAATATCAGATAATAAGTATCATAAAGCTGTCTAACAAAAATAAATACAGTATATAGTTATAATGGAAATGAAGCTCTTCCACATATTGTACTGTAATGATACTACAATTAAATCAGTATTATTAATTTATTCTTTGCTCAGAGTTGGAAGTTGTATGTGGAATGAATGAATGAAGAGGATGGTGAATTCGATAAACAATTGAGCATTTGTGTTTGAAAATGGTCAGAAACTTTCTCAAAAAAATGCACAGATTTTTAATGCTGAACAGTGTCCCTGGATGAAATACACTGACCATATTTATTGCTATGACACTAACCTATGGCAGTACCAGTATGCACACTCATATGTCTCAGAAGAAAGGTCATCTTTTGGAAACTTTCACCACACATTTCACACTTGAAGTTTTTCTTATTGGTATGCGAAGCCACATGTCGTTTTAGGCTCGGTTTACAGTAATAACTTTTACCACAAACTTCACACACAAATTTTTTTACACCAGTATGTATAATCATATGTTCCTTCAGAGAACCTTTCCTATAATAACTCTTGCCACAAACTTCACACTTAAAGCTCTTTTCACCAGTGTGAACAATCATATGATCCAGAAGAGCATTATAATTCTTGAAACATTTATCACACACTTCACACTTGAAGTTCTTCTCAGAGTGCACAACCCAGTGTTTTGCCAGAATATATTTCGTTTGAAAACATTTACCACATATTTTACATTTAAATTCTTTCTCATCAGTGTGTACAGCCTGATGTCGCTTCAGGGAGCTCTTCCTGTAAAAGGTTTTATCACAGTCTTCACACTTAAATATACTCACAACAGTGTGTACATTCATATGACTCAACAGAGCACTTCTCTGCTTAAAACATTTCCCACATTCTTCACACTTGAAGTTTTTTTCATCAAAATGTAGTGTCATATGGGCCAACAGTTCACACTTTCTGTAAAAACTCTCACCACACTCTTCACACTTCAGGTACTTCTTACCAGTGTGCACAGCTGCATGGTTTTCCAGATCTTTTTTCCTGTAAAAACTTTCACCACATAATTTACACATGAAATTTTTCTCACCATTATGTACAGACATATGATTTTCCAGATCAATTTTCCTATAGAAACTTTTACCACATTCTTCACACAAAAAATTCTTCTCACCGGTGTGGACAGCCATGTGGTCCTTCAGAGTTCCCTTTCTGTAGTAACTTTTACCACATTCTGCACAAGTAAAGTTTCTTTTGCCAGTGTGCATAATCACATGAGTCTGCAGTGCACTCTTCTGCTGGAAACTTTTACCACATTCTTCACACTTAAAATTTTTCTCACCAGTGTGTACAGCCATATGTCGTTTCATATTACCTTTTATGTCAAAACATTTATCACATACTTCGCATTTAAAATTTTTCACACCAGTGTGCACAGCCACATGCTGCTTCAGGTTACTTGGTGTGTAATAACTTTTACCACACACTTCACACTTAAATTTTTTCTCACCAGAGTGCACAGTTATATGATAATTGAAATGACTCTTTGTGACAAAACTCTTGTCACACTCTTCACATTTATACTTTTTCACACCACTGTGGCCAGCCATATGCTGCTTCAGAGAACGTTCTCTATAATAACATTTGCTACACTCTGTACACTTAAACTTTTTCTCATTTGAGTGAACAACCTTATGATACTCTAGTTCACCTTCTGTGTAATAACTTTTGCCACACTCAGCACAAATAAAGTTTTTCTCAGCATTGTGAACAGTCATATGTTGTGTCATGTCATATTTACTATAAAAGCTCTCGCCAAACTCTTCACACTTAATATCTTTCTCAGCAACTTCCTCAGTCACACAAACATGCATTTCCAAATATTCATTACTACAAAAACTTTTACCACAAGCTGCACACTCATAAGTTTTGTCATCAACGTACACAGCCACTTGATTCATAAGGTGAGCCATTATTACACCTTATAAAACTGTTTGAATCTTTGTCATTGAAAACACACAGTACAGAACTGTATATGGGCTAAGTTTTTCTGCATGAAAGTTACATCTACAAGAGTAAATTTCTTTTTATAATTCTACACATGTACAAGGTTCTTTTATCTACTTACATTTGAGTATCACTGACACAACTAAGCTTTTTTTCTTCAGTGTCCAGAAGTACACACCAGTAGGCTGTTCTTTGGGTAAAAACCCTGTAGGACATATCATCTTTGTACAATATCTAGTGTAGTGCATCATTTCACTGGTACAGTACTTTAACCCAGGGAACCACCTTTCCACTCTGGACATACAGAATTTCACATGTAGTACAACTTGACTTCTATATTTCAAACTTATGACCTAGATATAGTTAGTCATTATTTGTCAATTATGTTTAAAATGGTCCAGTGAAGATGTTTAATAATCCTCATACTGATTTATTCTACAGTTTTAAGAAGTTATACAAAACTAGTTCAACTTATCTATTTTTAGCTACTAATATTACTGTACAGAAAATGGACTCTGGCGGCACACAACAAGCCAGAACCTACATCTCTTGAGGACATTTGATGATCTTTGTAGAGGTTTAATACTACGGCAGGTTGTGGTGGGAGATGTTTGTCTGGGATGGCCTCCTAATGTTACCATAATGTTCCTTTCTTACATCCTCTCACATGTTTTATGTCTGAAATAAAGTGGACAGTGTTAAGGTACAGGACTATTTAAATTTTTTTTTTTTTTTTTTTATTAAAATGTGCAGCAGCACAAACATTTCCATTATAATTTCAGTCTAGCAATCTGTGAGCTCCTAGTCTGATTTGGTTGGGTTAGGTTAGGTCGTCAGGTCAGGTTAAGTTCAGTTGGGTTAGGTTTCATAATAATTACATACAGTAATCTGTGTACCTTAAATCATTTTGAGGACCTGACCTCACATAACCAAACTAGGCGAGGCCTCACACCACATACAGCAGTCTGAAAGATGTCATACAAGCTTATTATTAACAGGAAGGTCGGTCAGACTGGGGAAACTTCCACTTCTTTACACTCAATACAAGATTACCAAATGTCCAATACAGTTCTGTACTATATTAATCAATTAATTTGAAACAATGGGGATCCGACTAATTACCCAAATGTACCCAAATGTAGCCGCAATGAAGTCAAATGACGGTCCTACAAGAATAAATCGGACTGCCAATCACTTGTCGACTAGTATTTGGTGTCACTAAGTCACAAAAATTTGGTAAACTTAATTTAATCTGAGTTAATAGATCGAGTGCATGTACCTAACCTAACCTAACACAACTCAGATTAAATTAAGTTTACCAATTTTCTGTGACTTTATGACACCAAATAATAATCGAGAAGTGATTCACAACCCGATTTACGCTTGTAGGACCACCATTTGACTTCATTGCGACTACATTTGGGTAATTAGTCGGACCGAAACAATGGTGTTCTGCAGCCACAACTCTACTTCAGTTACTTCAACCTTGTTCTGTCTGGTGTAACTTTGCTGTACTGTATTTATCACTATAATACAGTATGTGTACTTGCCACTATACCTGCTGTACTCGTCACTATACCTGCTGTACTCGTCACTATACCTGCTGTACTCGTCACTATACCTGCTGTACTCGTCACTATACCTGCTGTACTCGTCACTATACCTGCTGTACTCGTCACTATACCTGCTGTACTCGTCACTATACCTGCTGTACTCGCCACTATACCTGCTGTACTCGTCACTATACCTGCTGTACTCGTCACTATACCTGCTGTACTCGTCACTATACCCGCTGCTGTACTCGTCCCTATACCTGCTGTACTACACTATACCTGCTGTACTGTCGCTGTACTCGTCACTACCTGGTGCTGCACTGCCACTACGCTGTACTCTGCTGTACTACTATACCTGCTGTACTGTGTACTACCATACCTGCTGTACTCGTCACTATACCTGCTGTACTCGTCACTATACCTGCTGTACTCGCCACTATACCTGCTGTACTCGTCACTATACCTGCTGTACTCGTCACTACACCTGACAACAAGACCATTTTTTTTCCTGAGCGTCAGATGGAGGTGATAAGCTACAAACTCTTATCTTGGGGGGAAATATGCTAAATATACTTGTTCTTTCCTCTAATAATCAAATCGCTAGTGTCTCCCACGCTTGGTGAATTAAAAAAAAATATAAGTCATCACTAATAAAAATAAACAGCACATTTAATGATTCAGAGCTCAGGCCAGATTCTCCTGAAATGCAAAAATAAAAAACCTGCAAGAAAAACTTTGGTTAACCTCAAGTATGATTTGGGGATACAAGTTCTACTGATATAATTTATTTGAAATTTAATATCAATTCATTTTTTGTTTGGATAAAACATGATGGGAGAGCAATATCCAGGACCACAAGGTGCTAGGCAAGGATAATACAATACGGTACAGTCCTTGGTGCTGTACTGTATAAACGGTATTAGTTATCACTTCCACAAAACTGAGCAAAGTTGATGACAAAATAAAGATGTAACTAGATAAATGCAAACTTAAGCCTTTCAATTGTTCCCAAACTTTAGGCAAAAAAGATAGATATTTAAGTACAGTAATCAAACCACTTAGTGAAGACTGAGTGTGAAGGAGTAAACACTTTATATTTCTTTTACCATTGGAATGAAAAACAACAACATCTAATAAACATAACATCTTTATTTACAAAAACTATACACTGTAAACCAACTATATAAAGTCCAGTACTGTACTGCACTGTAATCATAAAATTTCTGCCGCTCAACAACGAAGGCCCGAGTGCCGAACACACTTTGTTATAAATCCAGATAAAAAAGTCACAGGAAAAAAAAGTCACAGAAAAAGAGGCACGAAAAAAACCTAACCTAACCTAACTTACCCTAACCTACGTGCATCATATATAAATTGTGTTGTCAATATGTAAAAGTTATGTATTGTCAGTTAATAACTTTTAAAATATTTTTAGTTTTATTACCTTAATTGTTTATGGCATTTAAATAAAATGTGACTTTTTTGTTAAACTATAATTTAAGGATTGAAATATGAAATCTTATCATGCCTAAGATGAAGAAATGAATGAAGAGTGAGATAGCAGGACTATATCTCCCCCCCCCAGCCAGACACTGCCTTCACTAGAGGGCTCTAACATGCTTAGTGGGAGGAGCAGAGCACTGACCAGAAGGACAATTTAAACCCTTAATTCTATGTAACACAAACACATCTAAGAATTTACAAATATACAGTACAGCTTTGTAACAAATTTGTTATTTGATCACATTTGGTAATGTTATTGCACAAATAAATTGTCACAGAGATACACACAGGGAGTCAGATGGATGGAGAGAATTCTTTGTTATATCCCCATACTAGTGGCCGGGTGAAAAAAGAGTCAAAAACATGAACAAAGAAATTAACTTTTACATAAAAATAATAGTAAAGCAATGACACATCGGTGGTGTTTCTCAGTACAGGGTAGTTATTATCATACAAATCTCTAACTTTGGGTAAAAAGTTTCCTCACATGCACCCCATGACCGACACTACCTGTACAGCACTTCCAGGGAGTGTCTCATACAAAGATGTTACCTTACTTTTTCAACTCTTTTGTAAACTAAAGTGGCACAGAAAGATGAACTGGAACTAGGATTTTGAAGGTTCTTTAAACACCTTTTAGATCTGATCAGAGGCAGATTATAGGTCAGATTTACCCAGGGGCGGACCTATCCATATATTGTACGTACTGTATTGCACAAGTTTATGATGCTATAAGACTTTTCCACTGAAAAACATTTACTTCACCATGATGTGTATCTAACTAGTACTATGTATGCTCATGTGCCTCAGTAAAAAGGTCATCTTTAGAAAGCTTTCACCACACACTTCACAGCTTAGGCTTTTCTTACGAGCGTGCAAAGCTACGTGTCGACTCAGAATAGGCTTTTTGTAAAACTTTTTACCACAAATTTCACACTCAAATTTTTTCTGACCACTATGTACAGCGACATGTTCCTTCAGAGAGCCCTTCCTATAATAACTCTTACCACAAACTTCACACTTAAAGCTCTTTTCACCAGTGTGAACAATCATATGATCCAGAAGAGCATTATAATCCTTGAAACATTTATCACACACTTCACACTTGAAGTTTTTCTCAGAGTGCACAACCCAGTGTTTTGCCAGAATATATTTTGTTTGAAAACTTTTACCACATATTTTACACTCAAACTTTTTCTCACCAGTGTGTACAGCCTCATGTTCCTTCAGTGATCCCTTTCTATAAAAACATTTCCCACATTCTTCACATCTGAAATTTTTCTTAACAGTGTGTACAGTCATATGAGTCAACAGCGCAGTCTTCAGTTTAAAGGCTTTACCACACTCTTTACACTTGAAATTTTTCTCACCAGAATGTAGTGTCATATGAGTTACCAGTTCACACTTTCTGTAAAAACTCTCACCACACTCTTCACACTTCAGGTACTTCTTACCAGTGTGCACAGCTGCATGGTTTTCCAGATCATTTTTCCTGTAAAAATTTTCACCACATAATTTACATTTTAATTTTCTCTCACCATTATGTACAGACATATGATTTTCCAGCTCAATTTTCCTATAGAAACTTTTACCACATTCTTCACACAAAAAATTCTTCTCACCGGTGTGGACAGCCATGTGGTCCTTCAGAGTTCCCTTCCTGTAGTAACTTTTACCACATTCTGCACAAGTAAAGTTTTTCTGGCCGCTGTGCACAATCAAATGCCGCTGTAGAGCATTCTTCTCCTGAAAATTTTTACCACACTCTTCACACCTAAAATTTTTCTCACCAAAATGGGCAGCCATATGCCTCTTCATGTTACCCTTTCTGTCAAAACTTTTACCGCACACTTCACACTTAAACTTTTTCTCCCCAGTGTGCTCCAACATACTACTGTGCGTGTATAGACTTTCACCGCACTCTTCACTTTCAAAATCCTTCCCACTTGTGTGCATGATCATATGAAACACCAACTCACTTTCAGTAACATAACTCTCACCACACTGCAAACACTTATAATCTTTCTCCTCAGTGTGGGCCGTCATATGCTGTATCACGTCATACTGACTACAATGCTTTTCATCAAGGTCTTCACACTTGATATCTTTCTCATTAATGTTCTCAGCAGCCATGATATTCTTTGGTTCATTCTCCAAGTAACAACTTTTACTACACTCTTCACCTCTATCATTGTTCTCAACATTTTGTGGGGCTTGATGATACTCCAGTTCACTCTGTGTGTCATAACTTTTACCACACTCAGTATATTTATAACATTTCTCATCACTGTGGACAGCCAAGTAATGTTCCTTCAGTGTTCCCTTCCTGTAATAACTTTTACCGCATTCTGTACAACTGAAATTCCTCTGCCCAGTGTGCACAACTTTATGTCTCATAAGTGCACTCTTCTCTTGAAAACCTTTATCACATTCATCACATTTAAAATTCTTAGCACCCGTGTGGGCAGCCATGTGTCGTTTCATGTTACCTTTTCTGTCAAAACATTTACCACACTCTGCACACTTAAATATTTTCTCACCAAGATGCACAGTCTTATGACACTCCAATTCCTTCTCTGTGTCATAAGTTTTGCCACAAAGTTCACAATTAAATCTTGTCTCAGCAGTATGTAAAGTCATATGTTGTGTTTGATCATAATTACTGTACAAGTTTTTATCAAATTCTTCATACTTAAATTGTTTCTCATAAGTGTGTTCAGCTCTGTGAGACTCCAGTTCAGTTTCTGTGGAATATCTTTTATCACAGTCTGTACATTTAAAATTCTTCTCATCTGTGTTTTCAGTCATACATTGCACCATATTATATTTACTGTAAAAGCTGATGAGACAACCTTCACACTTAATATCTTTCTCATTAGTGCACTCACCCATATTGATAAGCATCTGTAAATATTCACGACTGCAAAACACTTTACCACACTCCTTACATGTCAAATATTTCTCACCGAAGGGCACAGCTTCTTCATCTACAGTGTGAGCCATTTTTCATAGAATTTATTACACTTTGTATCTTTAAGAAAATTATTATACTGTACTCTACAGAGGTAAATTTTTATCTATACAATAATTCTAAATACAGTATGAAGATAATTTTTCAAGCTATAGAGCCCCATTAGAGAAACATGTGGTACAGGTAAACTTTGTCTCAACAGAGTACTGTACAATATAAATGATTATGACATGTGAAAAATACTGTGCTTAACACTGTACTGTACAATACTCCACCTCCTGGCCCAGGGAGTCATTGTTCACACTATGTTACCAATTGCTTGTACAGCGCACCTAATAATTTAGATCTACCTGTACTTTTAGCACACTACCTACACTCTAGTATGCTAAATTAAGTTACCTTGTTTTTCTCTTAAAAATATACTGGTACTTTCACCGGAAAACATTTAACTTACTCAAATCTTCTTTACATTCTGGTTGTATTTCACATGTACAGGCACAACAGCTTGACTTTTCATATTTCCAAAGTAAAAATTAGATGTTTGTTAATTTACATTAATCATGTTTACAATGTTCTCCTGAATATGTTTACTAATCTTCTTCAGTTGAAAAGAATTGTTCTAGACTACAGTAATTGTGCCTCAGTGTACTAGTGTTACAACCTTGAGGCTCTGACGGCACACAACAAGCCAGAACCTACATCTCTTGAGGACATTTGATGATCTTTGTAGAGGTTTAATACTACGGCAGGTTGTGGTGGGAGATGTTTGTCTGGGATGGCCTCCTAATGTTACCATAATGTTCCTTTCTTACATCCTCTCACATGTTTTATGTCTGAAATAAAGTGGACAGTGTTAAGGTACAGGACTATTGTAGTTCTTACAAACAGCTTTCTTTGCTGATTTTTTGCTTTGTTTTAATGCATAGAATTTAAATCCAGAGGTGTAACAAGGATAACCATATCTATAAACAACATCTGCCTTATGAACTACCAAAACAATCCTGGAGTAGTTGTAGTGGAGTTCTTGAAGATTAGGAATCCCAGCTTAGTTCACTTAATGATCAAACAACCCAATGCTAAATGGAGGGTTGGGTTAGGTTAGGATAGGCTTGGTTGGAGTAGGTTACATTATCATTAAGGTACTGAATTCATTCAATACGGCAGGTCATAATTTCAAGTGTAACCCCCCACATTGAATGGGACATTTACCAGGTGAAATAAGCTGGGGTACCTAATACTAAGGTAATCCACAAAAATTCATGCCTTAACTTTCATTATATTCGTTATGTTACGGTAATCAACCTAATAATATTGGTTGTCCCTCGTGTAACGAGAATGGCCCGCCCAAAGGCCACCTAGGCGTGAACTTGTTTAAGGTGTAGAAGCTGTCACCAACACAACAACCACACCCTAAGTTAACGAGTTGCATGTTACAGTGTCAAGGAATAGTCTGAGAGGACCGGACAACTCGCCAATTGCACTGGCTAACCATTACCCCGGAGCACAATCCACAAATCGATTAACATCCAAGTTCCCAATTACTGCTGGGTAGACAAAGGCAAATGGTGTAAAGAAACTTGCCCATAGTTTCAACCTGCCCGGGGATCAAACCCCGGTCCACTCTCTTGCGAGGCAAGCATGCTGACCATTACACCACAGGTCGCTTATAAGGTAATCAACCTAACTTAATCAACTCAATCTAACCTGACCATTACACCACAGGTCGCTTATAAGGTAATCAACCTAACTTAATCAACTCAATCTAACCAGACCATTTCTACCTAACACAAATCAGTGTAACAAATGTTTAAGTTTCAACACTGGCTGTTATAAGAACCAAAGATTAGCTGAACATTTCTCGTAACCAATTACCTCAATATTATCAACACAGCTAAAGTGTGTAGTTTGGAAGGTCGGGATTATAGCAAAGATAGATATACAGAAAGATATGGATAGACAGACAGAGCCAGAAACATACATATGGACAGATACAGATAGACAGATAAATACTTATTCAGTAAAACCATCATACTTACACTGATTTAGTATGTATATAACTGAGCAATATCAGAAGCTCAATTGGTTATTCCACTTCACTTTCAGTCTTTTATGTAACCTAACCTATATAACCTACTGTATACTTATATATTATTAAATCTAATGTACCTGTACTTTAATATAACTGTGCAATAGTGTATACGTCGTTATATATAACTCTAAATTTATGAAAACCAATTCAGCTTTTAACATATTTACGGGACTACCATTACAGTATTTGTATACCTACACTGTCTGCATACAGTATAAGATAAACCAATGAAAGTCTATCTACTCCAAGATTCCAAAAATGAGCACCAAAACATGTTAGGACTCCCCTAGTCAGCCATTCAATACATTACTGTACTGTACTTACCACATTAAAGTGTCAGCAACATACACTGACGTCCAGCTTGTTGTAATAGAACTGTACCTCCATCACTGTATCATGGTGTCACACTCAGAATACAGTAGTTGATCAATGCTTTCAGTGAGTGTGTGGGTAGATGACACCACCATCATTATCCTCCTCGACATGATCAACAAACATTGACCAGCTAGCAGTGTTGCCACCTCACGCCATCACTGTGACACCCTCTGACTCCATCACCTACCAGTCTCATGAAATAAATAAATAAATAAATAAATAAATAAATATATATATATATAATTATTGACGTTCATGGCTAATATTTTTTGTACTGTTTAGTATATACGTAAATAACTTGAGTCTTGTGGTCAGGTATCACTGAGTTGTCACTTATGTTTGCATGTCTTATAATGTTTTATACCTCTATATAATAAATCTTACTCGCCAATTGGTATAAGTACTGCATTTCTTAAGTCTTTATATACGATTTATACCACGGCACTGTATTACTTTAGGTTGGAATCCTGTATTAAGAATAAACTCCACGGACACCTATAGACCGGTGAGCCTGACCAGCATAATATGTAAAGTACTTGAGAGTATTATCAGAGATGCCGCAATGGAACATCTAATACGAAACAATCTTGTAAAGGATTGCCAACACGGTTTTATGCCGGGAAGCTCCTGCTTAACACAATTGCTCAAGGTATTGGATATTTGGACCCATATTCTGGAACGGGGTGGTAATATCGACAATATTTACCTAGATTTTGCCAAAGCTTTCAACAGTGTACCCCATGAAAGGCTGAAAATCAAACTGGAAGGGTACGGAATTCGGGGAAATGTCCTAGCGTGGATAGAAGGCTTTCTACATGACCGCAAGCAGTGTGTGGTGATTAATAGCACGAAATCGTCATCCGTACCTGTCACAAGTGGGGTACCACAGGGCAGTGTATTGGGCCCGCTGTTGTTTGTTTGTTTCATAAATGACATGCATGACGTTGTACACTCCTCCATACAAATGTTTGCCGATGACGCTAAGTTATTTCGGGAAATTAAGAACCAAGCGGACTGTGAAGAGCTGCAGAAGGACCTCTGTGGGCTCCAGGAATGGTCGAAGAAATGGCTGCTGAGATTCAATGTCACGAAGTGTAAGAGGATGCACCTGGGGCGTACCAACGGTAAGGAGGCGTATCATATGTCCCAACTTGATGAAGAAACTGCACTAGTTGAGACTGAATGTGAGAAGGACCTAGGTGTGTATGTTGACAATGAGCTGAAGTTCTCGGGCCATTGCGAGAAGAAGGTAACCCAGGCAAATAAATTATTGGGTCTTATAAGAAGGTCGTTCAGATATCTAGGCGGTCCGTCCCTCGTAACGATCTTCAAGAGTGAAGTGCTTCCCCATCTGGAGTACTGTCACCCCGTCTGGTCCCCGAGATATACTAGGGACTGTCAGTTGGTTGAAAATGTTCAAAAGAGGGCCACCAGACTGGTGCCTGCACTTCTGCACCTCAGCTACCCTGAGAGATTGGAGCGCCTGAACTTGCCTAGCTTATATTACAGACGGGCAAGGGGTGACCTAGTTGAGGTGTATAAGCATCTCAGGGGGCACTACTCAGTAAAGTGTCCTTACTTGGAGCTGGCGGACGCTCGCCCCACAAGGGGTCACAGCTTAAGATTGATGAAGCCGCAAGTCCAGAAAACTGTGAGGGCAAACTTTTTCGGAGTGAGAGTTGTAAACTCTTGGAACAATCTACCAGAGAGTGTTGTGACGGCACCGAGTGTGAGCTCTTTCAAGACAAGACTTGACCAACACTGGAGCCGGTTCAGGTACATTCAGGAGCCGGTGCATGCCCAGTATTTGCCAACAGTGTGTGACAGAGACGTGACCGATCACCCGGGCGGCTAACGAGCCGATCAGTGGCGAAGAGGATAAAAGTAAAACCAGTAAGTAAAAGATAGACATTTTGCTTGTCACTTTGTACACGTATCTTCCGTGTACCTTTGTATTACTTAGTCATGCATAGTTTGGAAGGCTTCGAGAGATAGACATTTATTCAGTAAACTTTTTATACAAGGTCACATTGATTCAGCGAATACATAGAGTGCAGGTATACAATGTACATTTTGCAGGTATACAAATAATGTACATAAACAGTGAAGATACACAATGTATATAGACAGTGCTGGTATACAATTATGTACAGTACATAGAGCAGGTGTACAATGTAGGCCTACACAGAGACAGTTCAAGTATTCAAACAATGGTAAACAGGATTCGACCCAGGATAGCCTAAGAAAAGGCAATATGCTGTGTACATCCCATAGCCAGCCACGCCTATATCACCCCACCACAAGCCGAGCAGAAGGGACCAGGAAGTTCACAAATAAATAATCTTGACCCACCAAAGATTAAACGGATTACATAGATCAAGGATGAACGTCAGTATTAATGCCACAAGTTTATTACCCCTTTGATAGTTTAGTTTACCTTCCACGTATCACATTTTCTTCTACTAACGATCTCATAGAAAATGCAAACAGTTTGAACGCTTTCTCGGGTCAACTCCTTTAAAAAGTATCACCCTGGTGGGTCACTTGGCTGTGGAGTCCGATGACTGGGGTGTCACTTGCCTGCTGTTTCACTTAGCTAGGGTGTCACTTGGTTGTGGTCACATGGCCGGGGTGTCAATTAGCTGGGGTGTCACTTGGATTGGGTGTCACTTGGCTGGGGTGTCAATTGGTTGGGTGTCACATGGCTGTGGTGTCACTTGGCTGGGGTGTCAATTGGTTGGGTGTCACTTGGCTGAGGTGTCAATTGGTTGGGTGTCACTTGGCTGGGGTGTCACTTGGCTGGGGTGTCAATGGTTGGGTGTCACATGGCTGGGTGTCACTTGGCTGGGGTGTCAATTGGTTGGGTGTCACTTGGCTGGGGTGTCAATTGGTTGGGTGTCACTTGGCTGGGGTGTCACTAGGTTGAATTCACTTGGTTGTGGAGTCCGATGGCTGGTGGATAACATAGCTGGGGTGTCACATAGCTGGGGTCACTGGGGTGTCACATGGCTGGAGTGTCAAGGGGTGAGACACAGGGTGGTGAGGACCATCAACCCCAGCAGGAAGATAGACATCCTGGGTGATACAACACAACCTGACGCAGACAAAAACGTGTCATCAGTTCTCCCACAATCAAGATGTCATAATTATTAATGGTTCTTAAGTGACACCGCCCCCATGTGTGTACAGAAGTTAATTGTGTGTGTGTGTGTGTGTGTGTGTGTGTGTGTGTGTGTGTGTGAAGATCCATTCTCTATTTTATTCCACCTTAAAATTAAACACCCTTACGCTAACCTAACCTAACCAAACCCAACCTCCCCCCCGTAATTTAACCCAACCCAAACTAACCCAACCCAAACTAACCCAACCCAAACTAACCCAACCCAAACTAAACTAACTCAACCCAAACTAACCAAACTTAACCTCAACAAAGTATGTCACTCAATTACTGTATACAAGTATGGTAAGTCGCCCTCAACCATTACCTACACGAGTGATCACTACTAAACCTTATTATGTAGCGTTCAGTAGAGGCTCCTTCCCGCTACAGTGTGACATTGTAGCTATCAGTCTGTTTGTCTGTCTGTGTTTATATAAAGTTATTGTTGTTTTATATATATGTATGTATGTATGTACCGAACTCACAGAGACACACACAAACACACATACACCGAGATACAGACACATGCATACACAGCCAGACGACACATACACAGAGACACATGCACACACACACATAAATATACAAACACAGACACATACACACACACACACAGCCACATATACACAAACACAATCCCACATACTTGTCCCTATGGCGCAGTGGAAAGCGCGCTGGACTTCTAATCCAGAGGTCGTGGGTTCGACTCCCACTGGGGATGACTTGAGTTGAGTGGGTGAGTGAATTCCATAATACCTTGAGTTTTGTCTGCATATATATATATATATAGGCTACATATATATATATATATTTTTTTTTTTATCTGAGTTTCTGTCTACCTGTCAGTCTGTGTCTGTCTCTATCAGTGTAAATACTACTACTACTACTTTACTACTAATGTTACAATTACTACTTCTACTACTACTACTATTAATAATAATAATAATAATAAGAATAATAACAACAACACACCCACACACCCACCAAAAAAAAAATCATCAAACACGGACAACCAGCAGACTAACAACAGGTTCTGAATCTATGTTAGGTGGTATAGTGTCCTCCATCTCACCATCGGAAACCTATTACCCGTCGCGCCTGTCTGCGTCTGTTATGGTTCCAATATCAATTTCTAAACGAGACTTGTATCATCGAGCGAAGATATTCTTGTTGTATAAAACTAAAATAAAAAAGGAAAACATTTGTAAATATGTGATTTATTCTGTGTGAACTATAAAGACATATCCTGTTTTTGTTGTTATTGTTGTTAGGTAAGGTGTATTTGTGTGTGTGTGTGTGTGTGTGTGTGTGCGTGTGTGTGTGTGTGCGTGTGTGTATGTGTGTGAAATAACTAACATATAACAGTTCTCTCATTTACCCACACCTGCACTACCCACACCTACCCTACCCTCACCTACCCTACCCTCACCTACCCTACCCACACCTGCACTACCCACACACCTGCTCTGGTAACAGGTGTCCACGTACCTGAAGTGGGGGCCACGGCTGTGTTGAGGAGGGCGGGTAGGTGGTGGGGTTCACCTAGTAAGGGCCTCTCTACCCCCACCTGTACCTCCGTCACCCACTCCAACTCCTCAACCATCACACGACATCTGGAGGGGGGGGGTTAGTGGTGTGGTTAGTGGTGTGGTTTGTGGTGTGGTTTGTGGTGTGGTTAGTGGCGTGGTTTGTGGTGTGTGGTTGGTGGTGTGGTTAGTGGCGTGTTAGTGGTGTGGTTTGTGGTGTGGTTTGTGGTGTGGTTAGTGTTATGGTTAGTGGCGTGGTTAGTGGTGTGGTTTGTGGTGTGGTTAGTGGTGTGGTTTGTGGTGTGGTTAGTGGTGTGGTTTGTGGTGTGGTTAGTGGTGTGGTTAGTGGCGTGGTTAGTGGCTTAGTAAACACGATAATAATCCCTATTTACAATACACAACAGCCAATTTGTAAACAACACAGCCTGTTTACATCATAAGAGCTCAGGTAAGGTAATTAGCATTCAATTACCACTAAGTGTTTAATTCAATTCTATATTATAATTAACTTAATCAATTATGACATTAAATAGTTGTTGATTCTGGTTATGTAAATCTTTAGGTGCAAAACACACACACACACACACACACACACACACACACACATACACCTCAAAGTGACCTGACCTGTATATAACGTGACCTGAGCTTGAAGACCTGTGTATAACGTGACCTTTAGCTGACCTGGTGTGACTGTGATCTGTGCAGACCTGAGCTTGAAGACCTGTATATAACGTGACCTTTAGCTGACCTGGTGTGATTGTGACCTGTGCTGACCTGAGCTTGAAGGAGCCGTGGGGGGCCAGGTCACGGCGTGCGGGCAAGACCAAGCCGAGGGTGGCCGAGTAGGTAGGCAAGTCGACCGAGGTGGCGTCTTGTTGACCACTCGGCCAGTTGGTGGTTAGTGGATACCTGATGACCTGCGCCTCGTCCACCTGTGTGTGTGAGAGTGAGAGAGAGAGAGAGAGAGAGAGAGAGAGAGAGAGAGAGAGAGATTACAAGTTTATTTCCGTTAACTCTAATATTCACCAACTTAACACAATACACTCATCCTTCACCTCAAGTCATTCCAAATAATAAACCATTACCTCATCCAACTCGTCCCCTCACCCATCATCCACTTACTTACCGCGGAAGTATGATGGGCGTCGCTGGAATGATGGGCGGCGTCGCTGGAATGATGGGCGGAGCTGCTGGAATAATGGGCGGCGCTGCTGGAATAATGGGCGGCGTCGCTGGAATAATGGGCGGCGCTGCTGGAATGATGGGCGTCGCTGGAATAATGGGCGACGCTGGAATGATGAACGTCGCTGGAATGATGAACGTCGTTGGGATGATGAACGTGGTGGTGTTGGTGGTGTGGGCGTGGTGGGTGGTGTGGGCGGCGTGGGGTGACGAGAACCCATGAGAGTGTGGGGGGTGGCCAGGAACGATAAGAGGTACAGTTGAGGGATATGTTGTCTCCGTCACTATACCCAGAGCTGTCCAACCCACGAACCACTGGTGGACCATCGGGCGTGTCTGAGAGAGAGAGAGAGAGAGAGAGAGAGAGAGAGAGAGAGAGAGAGAGAGATCCCTTACATAATTATAAATTCATGGGACATTATTTCACTATTTCCTCACTTTTTCTCACTATCTTCCTGTATGTCTCTTTAACTACCATTCTCTCTCTTTCTCACTCTATCACTATTTCTCTACCTCTCTCTCTCTCGCTTTAATTATAATCTAAATCAAAATAAACCACAAAATCATACATTAAACATCAGACCGTGAACCTTAATTATTGTTTTAATTATACAAGTCATCAACGATATAATTACTGAAGGAGACATGATTATAGGTGATGAGTTAATTTATTTATTGCCTTTATCTCTGTCTTTTGCATATCACTGTTCATGTTGGCAGCACTGACTCACCTCCTATGGTCATGATGGCAGCACTGACTCAGCTACGACGGTCATGTTGGCAGCACTGACTCACCTCCTATGGTCATGTTGGCAGCACTGACTCACCTCCTATGGTCATGTTGGCAGCATTAACTCATATACTACAGTCATGTTGGCAGCACTGACTCACCTCCTATGGTCATGTTGGCAGAACTGACTCACCTCCTATAGTCATGTTGGCAGAACTGACTCACCTTCTATAGTCATGTTGGCAGCCCTGACTCACCTACAACGGTCATGTTAGCAGCCCTGACGTGTGTGGTGAAAGTAGGCGCCTCTCCCACCACCTCACACCTGTACAGGCCGCTGGAGCTGGTGTATAGGTCGACCAACTCCACCTGGTGTAGGCCGGACCTCGCTACCTGTACACACAACACACACATACGATCAGAGGCGTGGTGGGCGTGTCTCTTTCAAACTTTACAGGGAAGTACAGATATATGTGTGTGGGTGGATCTGGGAAGTAAAGTGATGACGGCCTTGATAACACTGCTTCAACACTATAGGGACAACACAACACCACAACACTTACAGACACTCTACAACACAACACCACTACTATACCACAACACCACTACACCACAACACCACCCAGGCCCCACGCCAGGACAGTATATTAAGGTATAAGAGGAAAGTGGTCAAGGTGTTGTGTTTACCCAATTTAAAATGCAAAGTTTTCGTCGTAGTTAAGAGGAAGGAAGGAGTGTTGGAGAGAGTTGGCTTTCTTCTCACTCTCTCTATATTTTCTTTCTTTTTCACTTTCACCTATTTTTCTTTAATTTATTTTTCTTTGTCTATCCATCTATGACCCTATTCGCTTACCTATCCATCTATGACCCTATACCCCTTACCTATCCATCTATGACCCTATTCCCCTTACCTATCCATCTATGACCCTATTCCCCTTACCTATCCATCTATGACCCTATTCGCTTACCTATCCATCAATGACCCTATTAAACACCTATCCATCTATGACCCCTATTCTTACCTATCATCTATGACCCTATTCCTTACCTATCCATCAATGACCCTATTCCCCTTACCTATCCCATCTATGACCTGATAAACACCTATCCATCTGCAGCCCTATTTAAACACCTATCCATCTATGACCTATTCCTTACCTATCCATCGATGACCCTATTCCCCTTACCTATCCATCTATGACCCTATTCGCTTACCTATCCATCTATGACCCTATTCCCCTTACCTATCCATCAATGACCCTATCCCCTTACCTATCCATCTATGACCCTATTCCCCTTACCTATCCATCTATGACCCTATTCCCCTTACCTATCCATCTATGACCCTATCCCCTTACCTATCCATCTATCCATCCATCCATCCATCTATCCATCCATCTATCCATCTATCCATCCATCCATCCATCCCTCCATCAGCATCACACCAGCAGGGAGCCGTCTCAATAGTCCCCCTCTCAGATCAGTGCTCGTCTCTCGTGTTAAAACTACATTATGTAAATACAGTCGAAAAACCTCCCATGAAAGTGATATATGGCAACACTATTTCTTGGTTGATGGATGCCTTTGTCTGTCTGTTTCTTTTTCTTAGTTATTTCTGCTTGTTTTTATCTATTTATTTGTTTATCTGTCTATTTCTCTCTCTATTTCTGTTTGGTTCTGTGTAGTTTTGATAGTATTTTTAAAAACGATTCAAAAATGTAATATGGCAACACTTTTTTCTCCCCAAAAATAAAAAAATAAAATGAAATATGGCAACAGTGTTTCTTATGAGATGCCAATTATTGTTTATTTTTATTTTATTCTCTCTCTCTCTCTCTCTCTCTCTCTCTCTCTCTCTCTCTCTCTCCCTCTCTCTCTCTCTCATTCCTCACCCTCCACCCTCGCCAAACATATAATATAAATAATTCCTGATCGTAACTATCTAATTAGTGATCAAATAGAGACGTGATTTATTGTATAGTTAAATATAATAAATCTCTTCCTCTCAAGTCAACACAGTTAAATGTAAACAGAACTATGACTTGTGTGTGTACCCCCAGGTGTTGACAGGTGTTTAGGGAATAAATTGCACCATGGCCATAAATTTAATATATAAATTTCTCCCCAAGACTCAAAACCTAACCTAATCTAACCTGTTTTAAGTAACGTCTGAGAACGCTGAGTTATTTTGATTATAATATGTGATTTTATTTACATACTGAATAATCATATATACATATTAAGGTTAATGATACAATTAACCTCGGCACAGGGTATATATATATATACATTAGTTATAATTTGTATATTTGGGAATGTTTGTCACGGGAAATATTATTAATTTTATGAATGGTGTAAAACGAGACTGTTTATATAATGTTAGGACACACACACACACATGCACACGCACACGCACACACACACACGCACACACACACGCACACACACACACACACACACACATCACCATCGGTCTTTCTCTCTCTCTCTCATTTATTCTTTATCTCTCTCTATCTTTCTCTTTGCCTGTCTTTATATTTTTCTATGACTCTTTTTCTTTACTCTATCTTAATTTTTATTTATTTTTCATCCTCTTTCAATTTTGTTTCTTCATTAATACACACCAACTGTGTGTGTGTGTGGGGGGTGGGGGGGTGGTGGTGGGGGGTGGTGGGGGGAGGGATCTATCTACTTGCATCTTTCCACTATCCACCACACCCCTACTAATAACCACAATCTACCACCACCCCTAACCACTACAACTAACAACCTCCCCCCCACTACCACCCCTCCTCCCCACCCCTCCCCTCCTCCCCACCCCCATACAAAACAATAATAATAATTGACGCCCATACTCAACATTAACACTGAGGCCTGGGGTAGTAAACACAGCCATCTTGGGTTTATTTCTGGGAATGAATTGATAAAACTGTCGACCGTCTTTCCACCACTTGAGGGAGTAGAGGACCTCACCGTGTAGAGCGAAGTGGCACCTTAATGTGGCACTGTCTCCTACCACCACCACCCTAGGCACCTCCACCTTCGTCACTCTCAATCCTGTGGGAGTACAGAGAGAGGGAGTGGTGAGAGAGAGAGAGAGAGAGAGAGAGAGAGAGAGAGAGAGAGAGAGAGAGAGAGAGAGAGAGAGAGAGAGAGAGAGAGAGAGAGAGAGTGGTGGAGAGGAGAGGGGTGAGGAGAGAGGAGAGAGAGGTGAGAGAGAGAGAGAGGAGAGAGAGAGAGAGAGAGAGAGAGAGAGAGAGAGAGAGAGAGAGAGAGAGAGAGAAGAGAGAAAGAGAGAGAGAGAGAGAGAGAGAGAGAGAGAGAGGAGAGAGAGGGGGTTGGTAAGAGTGAGAGAGAGAGAGAGGGGGCTGGTAAGAGAGAGAGAGAGAGAGAGAGAGAGAGAGAGAGCGCTAAGGGAGACAGGTACAGTACATGTTATTTGATTGGGGAAGTTAGTCTCCTCCCAGGAGGCTAAAAGGTCATTCCTGGAGGTCAAATGTCAACCCTAAAGGTTAACTGCCAGCCCTGGAGGTCAAATATCAGTCCTGGAAGTCTAATGGCAGCTCTGGAGGTCAAATGCCTAACGTACACATACGGTTCCTGTTTAATACATGATCAGACTCTCAGAAAGTTGTTAAGACCTAAATTCCTCGTAAATGATCACGAGGGAACACACTCAACTGATTGACTTGAGATGATGTTTTGGCTGATATTGTTGTTGTTGTTGTTGTTGTTGTTGTAGTTGTTGTTGTTGTTGTAGTTGTCGTTGTTATTGTTCCTCTTGTTGTTGTAGTTGTTGTTATTGATGTTTTTGATGGTGTTTTTGTTACTGTTGTTGTTGTTCGTTTCCACCAAAAGACAAAAAAAGTGTTTGTTTACACCAGCCTGACAGCACCATTCATCCAGCGTGTGTATATATATGTGTGTGTGTGTGTGTGTGTGTGTGTGTATGTGTGTGTGTGTATGTGTGTGTATGTGTGTGTGTGTCGCGTTCACTCACATATTAATTC